TTAAGACTGATCTCAAAACTCCGTGACCTTAGTCTCAGCTCCATCCTCTGCAACTGGATCCTCAGCTTCCTGACCCATAGGCCACAAGAATAGGTAACTGCACCTCCTCCACAACAACACTCAACACTGGAGCCCCACCCCCCAAAGGATGCGTCCTCAGCCCCCTACTGTACTCCCTGTACACCTACAGCTGTGTTTCCAAATTCCGAACGAATGCCATCTACAAGTTCACTGATGACACTACCATTGTGGGACGGATATCTAACAACGACGAGTCAAAATACAGAAGGAGATAAAGAGCTTGGTGACACGGTGTAATGTAAACAACCTCTCTCTCAATGTCGGCAAAGCTAAAGAACTGATCATCGATTTCAGAAAGACAGGAACTGAGGCTGAGACAGTGAAGAGCACCAAGTTCCTCGGAGTGACGATAACCGACAACCTGTCCTGGACTTCCCACGTAGATGCAACAGTCAAGAAGATACAACAACACCTCTTCTTCCTCAGGCAGTTCAGGAAATTTTCGCATGTCCATAAGGTCCCTCACCAACTTCTACAGATGAACCATTGAAAGCAAACTGTGTGGGTGCATAACAGCTGGTATGACAACTGCTCTGCCCAGGACCGTAAGAAACTACAGAAGGTGGTGTGCATAGCACAGACTAACACGGAAGCCAACCCTCCATCCAAGAACTCCATTTACACAGCCCACTGCTGCAGAAAGGCAGCCAACAACATCAAAGACCCATCGCACCCCGGTAATGATCTCCTACAACCTCTTCCATCAGGTAGAAGATACACAAGCCTGAACACATGCACCTGCAGGCTCAGGAACAACTTCTTTCCACCGTTATCAGACTGTTGAATGGACTCTAGTCTCAAATAATTAAACCTGCACGTCTCCAAGTCTTTTTGATCTGTACATCCTTTGCTTGCTGTGATCTGCCTGTACCGCTCGTAAACAAAGCTTTTCACTGTATTTCAGTACACATGACAGTAAAATCAATCAATTGAGGAGTAGGGAATAGTGTGGGTGATGCTTATGGTTGTATGAAGAAAGATGGAGAGACTACAGTGGAGCATAAAGTCTGTAATGGACTGGGTGGGCTTCATTGTCTTGTTTCAGTGCTGATGTTCCGTGTGATCACATTGCACTGGAATGCAGGCAGTGATCTTATGATCTTCTGGGCAAGCTCATCTTTCCAATTAAACAGAGTGTGAGCAAAACCGCAGCAAAATTAAAGTTTTAATGCGGCCAGAAAAAGCTCTTGTTACTTGTAAGAGCTGAACTGTCCTAAGGCAGCATGTCAGTTTATTAATGTCTTGGTTCGGAAGCAGCTTGGTCCTTTTCGGTCATATTTCCGACATGCAACTTAAAACCTTTCTTTATATTTGTGTTTTGATTTGATCGCCACTTTCTTAATTGATTCTGTCTGACAATCTTAAAAATTTTTTGTTTTTGTTTCATTAAGAATTGATGCAGAACATTTCAAACAAAGTCTCCTGTTAGAGTCAAGGCAGATGCTGCATTCTACATTCTTGGAATGAATTAGACACAAAATTAACGTTCTACCATGACATAACACATGGTTAAAACCAAATTCATTCCCTAGCTGTGCTCAGAATGTTATATAAAGTTTCAGATAGACTAAGGAGGAATGATAAGTTATCCTGCTGAAACACAATCATTTCTTTCAAGCACAGTGTACTGTACATAGATGTAACAGCTACAGTATACTTAATGCTATCCAGGCCTGATCTAATAATTATCCACCTGTTTTATTCACTGCATCGTTTATGCTGTTTGCAGCTGCGTTTTTCTTTGAGAGCCATTTACAGTTGAACTTTATGGAACAATGCCCTGATTTGAACTGATTTATTATTGTCACAGGTACCCAAGTACAGTGAAAAATTTTCTTCTGTAGGCAGATCATAACATACAAAGAACATGGGGTGACTGAACAGAGCAAGGAATACAAAGTTATGGGTGCACAAAAAGATCAACATTAGATTTTAAATTTGAGAGTTCCGTTCAGCAGTCCAATAACAGCAGGGAAGAAGCTGTTCTTGAACCTGCTGGTACGAGTGTTTAAGCTTTTGTATCTTCTGCCTGATGGAAGAGGGTGGAGCATTGCAGACCTGTTAATGTTGATGATGTGGTTCAGTTTCTATTGCCAAGCATGTTGTCTTGGAGTCAGCTCTATATCAGAAATATGCAGCACACCATCTGACGTTCTACATCACTGAGGGTGGGATTTCTCTCCCTTGATTCCTGAAGGTCAGGATCCTAACTGTTGGGCTGGACCTCACTGGTTAAACTCTATTTGGTGCAGGTAGACCCACAACACTGTTAGGGAGGGAATTCAAGGATTTTGACCCAGTAACACTGAAGGAACAGCGATGTATTTCCTAGTCAAAGTGGTGAATGGCTCAGAGGGGAACCTAAAGGTGTTCCCATGTATCTGCTGCCTTTGTCCTTCTAGGAGGTAGAGTTCATGGGTTTGGAAGGTGCTGTCTAAGGAGCCTTGGTGAATCACTGCAGTGCATCTTGAAATGGTAGACACTGCTGCTAAGTGGTGGAGGGAGTGACGTTAAAGGTGGTGGATGGGGTGTCAGTCAAACAGGCGGCTTTGTCCTGAATGGTGTCAAGCATCTTGAGAGCTGAAGCTGCATGCATCCAGGCAAGTGGAGAGTATTCCATCACACTCGTGACACATGTCTTGTAGATGATGAAGAGGGTTTTGGGGGTGACGGTTACCATAAAAATTTCCAGTCTTTGACCTATCCTTCTAGCTTCACGAGACTGGAGCTCAAACAAGTTTCACTCTAATGTCAATCACGAGGAATAACCTGGTGAAGAATGGCAGCTCGGGCAAGGTACCGGTCATCTGTTAGTTGTGCCTTGGAGGTAGGAAAGTGAACAAGGAGAAAAGTTTGGGCACGGGAAGCAAAAAGATATAAAAGTTCAAATACACATATGAACAGATTCAAGAACAGCTTTTTCCCTGCTGTTATCAGACTTTTGAATGCACTTCTCATATGTTAATCCTGAGCTCTCTCTCCGCACCTTCTCTGTGGCCGTAACACTGTATTCTGCACTCTGTCCTGCTACCCTGCTGCACTTTGTATGGTATGATCTGCCTGTAGAGCACGCAAAACAACACTTTTCACTATATCTCAGTGCATGTGACAACAATAAATCAAATCATTGCATGGCAAACTGCAGATTGCTAACATTCGGATTCATGATTAAAAATAAATAAATTTAAAAGTAACCTGCTACAAATTTATTGGTGTCTCTCCCACCTTATATTCTAACATAGAGCATTATTGTCTGCCAATACTGTCACCGTGTTTAATACTGTTCCTAGTCAAGGGTGCGTATGACCTTATACACTCTCAAACCAGAACAGTTGAGAAATCTGAACTGGGTTTGCTATTGAGATAGGCAGTAGGGACTGCGAGTAAGGTTCGAAATATGCACCGGTTTAGAGATGAGCTTCTTGAAACAGCTATCTTTTATTTACCAAATATAGAATAACCGTTGGATTGGTGCATGTGCAAATGTCATCTACAGAGCAGCTGAAACTGTAATGAACAACTTTTCAGCCTGAGCAATTCTGTTACAGGCAGTAACTTCATTCGCACAGCTGTCAGAGTGACAGCTATTTTTGGGTTTATCACCTGTTCTGGTGCTTATCGTGACTGTCTGTCTTTAAAAAATGAATCAACGACTTCATCAGCTGATGGGAGTAATGGTGGCTACACTCAGGGCTATCATCAGTCACTGGGTGGATAGTCCCAGTGGCAAAGAATATAATTACTGAATTAAAAATAACCTCTATGTCATGTAAAGTTAAGTTTTGCTTTTGGTTGATTGTCTATTTCTAAGCGTAGACATATCTCAAAATATTAGCTGTTTGTGTGATCTAATAACCTTTCTTTCTAAAAATAAAACAGCCAATCCACTTCTTTCATTCTAACCTCTTTTAGTCACTTCTGTCATTTCATCTCAGAACATCCTTTTTAACCCAGCCCTCTGCCACGTGAGCTGGTTATTTGCAACATTTCTCGTTGGCCTGATATGCAAACCTGAGCTTCCTCTCTCCACAGACAATGCCTGGGATGCTAACTGGCCTCTGTTTTCTGTTTTAGGCAACACGTTATCTTGTAATGAAATGCTCACTGGCACAACAAACATGCTAACCAGACAGCACATGGTTCTGTGGCAAAAATATGTCCAGTTCGTTATTGTCTGCTGTCACGCTAACTGATGTGGAGTGAAGTCAGACTGACTGGACTGGGCTACAGTCACATATTTGTCCATTATAGATTAGAGTCGGAGTCACAAAGCTCCTGATTCAAATCCCACTCCAGGGCATGGGGCAAAAAAATCGGGGTTGACACTCCAGTGTGACACTGAGGGACCATTGCAAAGTCAAAGTTTCCATCTTTCAGACGAGAGGTTAAACTGAACCACCATCTGCTTATCAAATATCCCATGGTGCTAATTCGATGAAGAGCATGGGGATTATTCCGAGTATTTATCCCTTGATCAATATCACAACAAACAGATTATCTGGTAATTTTCATATTGTTGTTAGTGGGAGTTTGCTGAGCACAACTTCGCTATTGTGTTTCCTACATTACAACAGCGAGTGCTTGTGAAAAGTATTTCATTAGCTGTAAAGCAATATTAAGCATTTGGTGATCATGAAAAGGCTTTCCATTTTTAAATGCAATTTTAAATTTCTGTAGAAAAACATGGCGCTGTATTACATTGCAGGTGGCTAGAGCTGTCAACTGAACATCTAACCTTGGTCTTGGTTTCTGTAGCCAGAGCTGTTTGACGCTACTTATGTCTGGTATTAGATGATAATTAAGCTACCAATGGACAATGCATTGTGATTGCAACAGTGGAGCTGGCAATAGTCAAGCTAAGTATATTAGAACATTTTGAAAATAAATTAGAACGAGGTTTACTTCTCTTTGTTTTCCAGGATTGTTTGCTCTTCACCTTTCGCAGTTGCCTCTTACTTTCTCCTGTGGTATGTACCAGATGGAAATGTGTCCGAGATTGGAAAAATCCTTTGGTACTTGGTCTTCTACTGTTTGTTCCAAACACTGCAAACAGTAAGTACTTAATAAGGGAGTTTATTTCAATTACATTTGGTGAACCAGTGACACGCGATGGAAAACACAATTTTGTATTCATTATTTCCAGATGACTCTGCTACTGGGCCTGAAGAAAAGAGTTAGTCTTAACTTTTAAAAAAAAAGTTGCTATAAGTATCTCTACTTCCATCCAACTCAGTAAATGGTCACTTAACACTTAGTGAGACGTGTTTACTTTGAGGGAGTTTGGTTGGCTTCTGTTGTTAGGAGGCCAAAGTTTGACGTTCATGAATCTGAAATCAATACCCTAATACAGCATTCACCAGCAATTATTCCATCACCAATGCCAGAAGCACTAACCTATTTCTCAAAGTTGACTCAACAATATGAACCCACTGTAACCTAATTTGTACCTGTGGCTATTTGTCTGTAAACATTCCTTTTCACCTGCTTGACTTGGCTGCTGGTGTGTTACCTTTGGGATGGTGCCATGTGATTTTTGGGAAAGTGACAGTTCTCAATGGAAGTGCATAAAAATTCAGTGTTCCCAATGTACGAATAATGTTTCCAATTATTCCAAAGTATTTAAGTTGCAATGACCATGATGAATTGTGCCAATTATGGAAAGGTTCTGTTAGTCTCAATGTCCAGAAACAGGTCTATTTGCATGAATTGGCTCTACTACTTTGCTCCTGTCAGTGATTTAAAAATTGTGCCAACATCTTTGATAAATACAAAGTTGGTGGCCTTCTTGATGCTTTATTTTAGTCCATTTGCCCTTTCCTCAGCCCTTCTCAAATGGAAGATAGATTCTCCATTCAGGATCTGAGTCATGCATTTAACATGATACTCATGCTCAGCTTGGACTAACTAAACAGCCTGCATTTTCTACCACTCCAATAATCTCTTCTGCTTTCCTAAGTCTCCTATACACACAGGCATGTTTTATTCCAGAGTGTGATTAGAATTAGAAAGGATCATGGAGTGCAGCACCAGCTCAAAGTGGAATGTAATGCATCCAGCATGCAAACATTCTTGTCACTGAGTTCCATGTGAGGGTCCATCCTATAATGTAATGTTACTGGACAAGTCATCAAGAGGCTGAAATGAATAGCCCAACAACACGTGTTCATAAGTTCAAATCCCGCCATCGTAGCTGGAGGAATTTAAATTCAGTTAATTAATAAAATTAAAGTGAAATGCAGATCATGTTAATACGGATCAGCAAACTATCGATTATCATTTAAAATCAAAGAATCATCCGCTTCACTCATGTCTTCAAGGAAGGACATCCAATGTTCTTCCCCAGTCTGACCTATATATGACCCCAGACCTACAACAAACTGGTTTGACTTCGACCTACCCTCTGAAATGACTTAACACGCCACTCAGTTGTAAGTGGGTCACCACCACGTACACAGGGGCTCCCATTCCTAATTGCCCTTGTCTGCCATATTATCATTCAGGAGAAATGAGGGTGGGGCAGATACACTGTTTCCAAAGTGATTTGGAAGTGGCCACAAAGGCAGGGTGGCAAGAAGGGGCAGTTTGGTTGGCTCAGACTTAAACCCTGTTGCATGAAAAGGTTGTTAGACCTTTAGGCATCAGCCTTCAACATCAGCCCGACCCCTGCACCTGGAGTTTTTGAAACTTAGGAAATAATTCATAATGAGCTCCATTGTTACAACAACCCATTGGGCATGTTATAGAGTCACTGTCATAGAGTCATACAGCACAGAAACAGACCCTTCGGTCCAACAACCGAACATAATCCCAAACTAAATTAGCCCCACCTGCCTGCTCCTGGGCCATATTCCTCCGAACTTTTTCTATTCATATATCCATCCAAATATCTTTCAAATGTAATCATACCCGCATCCACCACTTCATCAGGAAGTTCATTCCACACGCGAACCACTCTCTGTGTAAAAAATTTGCCTCTTTTGTCTTTTTTAAGTCTCTCTCCTCTCACCTTAACAATGTGCCCCCTATTCTTGAAATTCCCCATCTTAGGGAAAAGACAGCTACCATCAACTCTCTCTATACCTCATTATATTGTAAACTTCTATCAGGTCACCTCAACGTTCAATGCTCCAGCAAAAAAAGTCCCAGCCTATCCAGCCTTTCCTTATAACTCAAACCTTCCATGCCCAGCAACATCCTGGTAAAACTCTTCTGAACCCTCCCCAGCTTGACAATATCCTTTCTATAACTGAGCAACCAGAACTGGACACAGTATTCCAGCAGAGGCCTCACCAATGTCCTGCACAACCTCAATATAATGTCCCAACTCCTATACTCAAAGGACTGAGCAGTGAAGGGAAGCGTGCCAAATGCCTTTTTAACTACCCTGTCTATATGTGAAATCTATTAAATCTTCAGGAATAGATGATTAGTGGTTTTTTCCAAACAACACAAGATAGCTTGTCCATCAATGCATTCCAGCAGAGAGTTCCTGCCTTTATACTCTAGCTGAAAGTCTGTTCTTTTTTTCATTTTTAAAAGGCGGGGATTTTAAACCACTTCAGATCATGACACTTGGACATCATTCATGCTTCACAGTTGTTTACAGCAGTCCATAAAATTAGTGATCTCACATTGTGGGTAAAGGCCCTTGGAAAATGGATCTGTTTGAGCTGAGCATTACTGTTGATTGGCCCTCCTGAATCTGGGTATGCTGCCTGTGTATCCCATACCACCACCACTGCCACCACCACCATTGTGGGTGAGACTTTAGTATTCAGGACCTGCCTGCTTTTCTAAGCATTCCAGACCCATCCTGACTGTGTGAAAATCCAGCCCATAACCTTCTAATAATATTTTAGATTAGTTTAATATTAGTTTGAGTGTTTTCCACATTGATAGATGTGTATTTGAACCTCTTCATTCTGTTCTGTGCTGTGGCTCTTAACTTACAGGAGTACTGTATTTCTTCGAGATGCTGCAGTGGGATGTTTTTTAAATGTCAGTATTTGAAAACAAACTTTTCCATTCTTTTCTTAGTGCTTCCATGTACCCTACTCTGCACTCACAATGTTCATAAGCACAGATCAAAAGGAGAGGGACTCTGCAACAGCATATCGTGAGTAAGCCTTTTTCATTGTATTAGTGAGTTTGTAACACTAATTTTAGCATGTCTGTTATTTTACTTATTTCTTTTAAAATATTAATTTGAATCACTGCCATTGTTGTATTTCTCTGATTGTGAGCTCAATGTTTTGTAGTTTTCGTCAGCAAGGTAAAATTAAGCTCGATTGAGCAGAATATTTCTGGGAATAGTTCTGATTTTTGAGAGTGACCTGGTTTGTTTCCACAGTCCTCAATCTGTTTAAATTCTGCCATTTTATCTATGCAAGATTAAATTCACTTGCTGCACCTGCAGAAAGCTGATTTAATGTGATTTAACAACCACTCAAATAATACTCTGGAGTTCAAAGGTATTAAAAACCACAATGCTGATACTAAAATAATTCTGGATTGTAGAGAAAATGAGGAGTATCTGTGGTGTGAACAGAAAAATATTTACGTTTCTTATAACTATTCTTGGAGACCTCCAGACTGACATTAATTCTTAGGCTACAGAGTCCTTGAGGACATTTTAACCCGTTTACCTGATAGATTCTCCACTTCTAAGTATTTGAAGGTGAGTTACTATGGAAATAAATAATTGCTACTTTTCTTTGCAGGTATGACTGTGGAGGTGCTGGGAACAGTATTAGGAACAGCAATACAAGGCCAGATTGTGGGTGGGGCTGATGCCCCATGTATTCATGAAAGTGTATTTATTAATGCTTCAATGTCCACAATTGAAGTCAACACTACACAGTACAACGTCAACACATCCATCAGTCAGCTGGTATGTATTTTAGTTTCCAGCTTTTAAAGGTAGAAATATCAAAATCCAATTTCACATTATAAAAATTGGTGAGCTGGATTAGTAATAGTATGTTACCACATAGGCAGTGTTAATTAGCAGTGTCATATTGAAAAATCCACTGGGAAATGGTGAATTCCCTGTTCAGTTTGAAAACAACATACCCCAATCACAAGCATAAGCTTTAACCTTAAAGCCAAACACAGACCAGCTACAGTTGATTGGGTAAATATACTAACAGGTAGGGTGGTAAATAAATGGGAAGGAATTTCGAAGAAGCAGTTCAGTACTTTTTGATGAAATTTCATTCCATTGCAAAAGAAAAATTCAGCAAGAAACATCCATCTTGTCTTGTTAAGTAGATCTACAATTGTGTTAGATTAAAAGGAGAAGCTTGTAATGCTACAACAAAGAATATTAATCTGTGGATAGGGAATGATTTAGAAAGCAGCAAAATCCTCCCAACAAGTTGATAAAAAGGGGAAAATAATAAGTATAAATAATCTAGTCAGGAATGTAAAAATAAAACAGATTGTAAGAGCTTTTGTATGTACATAAAAAGGGGAAGAGTGGCTGAAGTAAATGTTGTTCCCTTAGAAGTCAAGACAATAGAAAATATCACGAGGAAATAGCAGAGATGTTGAACAAATATCATATCTTTGGCTTCTTTAATCAAATTCTGAAGTTACACACCAGAAGTAGAATTTAAACCAGGGGCCAATAATGAGTGAGGAAATTAAAATGATTACTATCAGTATAGAAGTACTGGAGAAACTCGAGAGAATTGTACCTAACAAGTTCCCAGCACCTGAACATCTGCATTCTAGGATTCTAACAGAGGTGGCTGTAGAGAAAGTCGATGCTTTGGCTATAATTTTCTAAAATTCCCAAGATTCTGGAATGTCCCAGTGAATTGAAAGTTAGCAAATGTAGCACCACTATTCAAGAAAGGAGGGAAGAGAGAAAACAAGAAAATACAGGCCAGTTAAGCTGACATCAGTCATTGGGAATGTACTGGAATATACTGGAATCTAGTTTTAATGAGATCTGTCACTGGTAAGACTGGCATTTATTGCCCATCCTATTTGCCCTTGAATCGAGTGACTTGTTTGGCCATTTCAGAGGGCAGTTAAGAGTTAAGCATATTCATAGAATCCCTACTGTGTGGAAGCAGGACATTTAGCTCATTCGAGTCCACACCAACCGTCTGAAAGAGCATCTCACCCAAATGCTGAAACCCTGCATTTCCCATGGTTAACCCATCTAGCCTGCACATCCCTGGACACTATGGGTAATTTTAACATGGCCAGTCCTCCTAACCTGCATACCTTTGGACTGTGGACTGGAGCACCCGGAGGAAATCCATGCAAACACAGGCACATAGCCGAGACTAGATTTCAATTCCAGATTTTTGTTTCCTTGTTGAATTTAAATTCCACTGCCATGATGATATTTCAAGCTCTGTCCCCAGGGCACAATCTGGAATCTGGTCTAGTGACATTACCAGTACCGTATTCTCTCATCTATGTTCATAAAGACCCAGCTCACACTGAATGTTGGAGTTCAAAGTGTGTAAAATAAAGAGTTATCAATTGCTTTTATCTCTCTTTCTAGAAAGCCACAAATAACCAGTCCTTTTTTTTCTTTCTGTACAGAAAAGTGCCTACATGATGGCAGCTGGAGTCATTGGAGCAGTGTATATTCTCTGCACCATCATTCTGTTTGCTGGAGTCCAGGAGAGAGACGGTAAATAACTGTTTTTGACCTATTACGTAGAGAAGGTGCATTTAAAACTATGCTCAACTTTAAGCTTCAAAATGAAATTGTGCTGCTTTCCACAGCTGGAAGTACTTTTTATATATTTTCTAATCGACCTGTTCAGAAGTGTTATTACATATCACTAGAGCAGGTGGGACTTGAACTTCCTGGCATAGAGGGACGGACACAACCACTGCATCAGAGGAGCCCTCAATCAAGTTCCTACCACAGCAATGAAGATGCTTCCTAAGAAACCCGTTTAGCAATGTTATTGACACCTCTGGAGTAGGTCGGACTTGAACCCAGGAGTCCTAGTTCAGAAGTGGGGAGACTATCATGGCACCACAAGAGGATAAGACTTCCTTAGCCCTGCAAGCACTTTATAGACATATTTCTAAATAACCTGCTCAGGGATTCTATTACGTACTCTAGAGCAGATGGGACTTGAACCTGGCCCTCCTGTCTCAGAGGTAGAGACACTACCACTCTGCCACAAGGAACCTGCAAGCACCTGTTTTTTCTCTTTATACCCAGATGTGCTTTTACAGGCAAATGAAAGTTTTCTTTCCAAATCATCCATTGTAATTTGTCACATGTTAACCACCACCAAGAAATCACCCGTGTTCTCCAATTGATTTACATGCAAAGCCAGTTGAGGGCCATCAGTGGTCAGGGAGGCGGGGAAACTTAATCAAAATGAAATTGGATACAACCATTTTATTTTTTCCTCTGCAGAAAAATAGCATTGCGACTGCCTCCTTTTTACTTTCATTAACCTATCTTTTCTAATCAACCTGTTCAGAAATGTTATTACATACCTCTGGAGCTGGTGGGACTTGAATTCACGCCTCCCGGTACAGGATTAGGGACACTATTTTCATAATTTATGAATAAAACTCACCTGTCCCTGTGACCAGTTTGGAAATGGTTACAAGTTAACACAGGTTTGTGAGTTTTCTAAAGATTTCTTGTTTAAATAAAACTTCCACTGGGGCACTATATGATATAATTTCCAAAAATGATGTGCTTTCAAAAGTAATTCAAAGCTGCTTTCAATTTTTTGCCCTGTTTCATACTCTGATTCTCTCCCTTTCACTTCTCTCCACTCCCCATTACAGCCTCTGTTTCTTCCCCCTCCCCAGATCTGATAGTTCCTAAGTGTTGGCACCTTCCATTGTGTGTGTTTGTAACACTGGTTTCTTGCTACCCACTCTCCTCATCACACATTCAAATGGGATCAATTTTACAAAGCATTTAAAAACCACTTGTAGTCAGTCCTGCAACATGGTCAGCATGTCTGGATAAGTGCATCAGCAAGAAGTGACCTGAGGTTCTTTATCAAATCACACTGAGATGCCTGGCTTTCAAAAATTTAATGCAGCTGACTGAATTCATTATTTAAGGCGCAGTTTTAACGGTGCTTTTGCATGGCTGGACATTGGACAGCATTAGGAAGTGAATTTGAACATTGTGCCAAAACAGGAGCAAAAGGGAGGAAGCAATGTGTTTCGAGATGAAGTTGGTCAGCCAAGGTAGAACATGGGGTTGGAGAAAGTTCTTGATGCCATTCAGCTTTAAATAGATTTATAACTGAGGACAAGAATTCTGAATTCAATGCATTGGGGTCAGTGAACCAGACCAGCCCATTCCCATCAATTACCTGTTCTGCTGCGACTGGGTTATAACTAGGTTTACTATAAGAAGTGAAATATTCTAAAGGTGTCCAGTAACATTAATCAATGAAGGATGAGGTATAAATAAATCAAGGCATAGATTATTCTAGCCATGGGCAATTGCACTGCTCAGCTTTACCGTGTGCTGAAGTGCTATCTATCACAAAAAAAATGCAGTGATTGATTTTGCATTGCTGCTGTTTGGCCCTGCTGAAATCTTGCTGTAAATTCGGCTGCAGACCTACATATTCAGTAATCTATTCACATACTACCTTGTGATAGTTTATCATCATACAATCAGGGAATGATACAGCACAGAGGTCATTGAGTCCATTTTGTCTGCGAAATAGTTAATGAATTAATCACACTGCCTACGTTTTTCCCTATGCCCATGCAAATTTTTTAAATATATTTCTATATTTTTCTAATTCACCATCAGTGTTTTTGCCCCCATAAGGTGAGTTTCCGACAGTCCATGTCACTCCAATAATTTACATGCCACAAGGTTGAGAATGGGCACCTTTTTTTAAAAAAATTCTTTGTTGGCCTGCAGTCAGTGACCTTTCAGCTTCTTTAAAAGGGACTGGGAAAGAATGGTCCTTTTGACTTCTTTGGAAAAGTATGCAGTCTTATAACCTCCCAAACAAATGCTAACTATTCACTGAGACAACAAGGTGTAGAGCTGGATGAACACAGCAGGCCAAGCAGCATCATAGGAGCAGAAAACTGTCTGAAGTGTGAGCTGTATTTGATCAAAGAAGCATCCAATGTTGCTCACCATGTAGCTCCTTATAATTCCTCAGTTTTTAATTGGTCACAGCAGACATTGAACTAAAGGGAAATTACATTGTAAGTGCTTCCTTTAAAATAGAACAACCCTGATACAAAAGATCAAACAAGTACACAATGCTCTTGACTCCTTCAGTAATAGGAACCACTTCTAAAGCAGGATGAGGAAAAAAGAAATGTCCAAAGGAGCTTGGTGCAACATTGCACTTCATCCAGTCAATTACAGAATCCCTATAGTGTCAAAGCGGGCCATTCAGCCCATCAAATCCACACCAACCCTCCTACCCAAACCTGTAACCCTGCATTTCCCACGGCCAATCCACCTAATCTGCACAACCTTGGACTGTGGGAGGAAACCAGAGGAAACCCATGCAGACACAGAGACAATGTGCAAACTTCACACAGAGAGTCATGCGAGGGTGGAATCAAACCTGGGTCCCTGGTGCTGTGAGCTAAGCACTGAGCCACCATGCAAGGTGATCTCCTGAGAGGAGCAAAGAAAATCCAGTTCCATCTTTTCTTTGTGTCCAAATCCATACTAAAGTAGGTCATTAAGGGCCAGATGTCTAAGCAAACAAGGAGTATGTTTGGTATCTGTTTCTCTGGTCCCCAGTCTTCCTCACAATTCCTTGAAGTTGGCTTTCTGCATCCTACAATCACTGCTATTTTCATGGTGAGTGAGATTGTAAGGATTGGTGTCAAAAGATTCCACCATTGAAACAGTATCGTGATGTGGATGAAAGCAAAATACTGAATATATTGAAAATCTGAAATAAAAACAGAGTGCTGGAGAAACCCAGCAGGTCCAGCAGTATCTTTGGAGAGAGAAACGAGTTTTGAGTTCATTACAGTGGCTCAGTGGTTAGCACTGCTGCCTCACAGCGCCAGGGACCCAGGTTTGATTCCACCCTCGGGCGACTGTCTGTGTGGAGTTTGCACATTCTTCCCGTGTCTGTGTGGGTTTCCTCCGGGTACTCCGGTTTCCTCCCACAGTCCAAAGATGTGCAGGCTAGGTGGATTGGCCATGTTAAATTGCCCGCAGTGTTCAGGGATGTGTAGATTAGGTGGGTTATAGGGAGATGGGTCTGGGTGGGATGCTCTGTGGGTTGGTGTGGACTTGTTGGGCCAAAGGGCCTGTTTCCACACTGTAGGGATTCTATGATGAGTCATGACTTTTCTTTGGGTTTGTAAGAAATCATTACCAGACTCGACATGTTAATTCTGTTTTTCCCTCTACAGATGTTGCCAGACCTACTGAGTTTCTCCAGCAGTTCTTGTTTATTTTAAATTGTGATGTGGGTTTGGTCTTGAACAAATTTGGACAGTTACTGAAAATTATGAGGAAGACAGGGGACCAGAGAAACAGATACCAAAACATACTCCTTGTTTGCTCAGACATCTGGCCCTTAATGACCTACTTTAGTATGGATTTGGACACAAAGAAGAGATGGAACTGGATTTTCTTTGCTCCTCTCAGGAGATCACCCATCAAAAGGTCAGCATGGTGGCTCAGTGCTTAGCTCACAGCACCAGGGACCCAGGTTTGAACAGTACTGCCTCCAAGAAGGCATCAATCATTTTAGTATATTAATTGCGCTAGCCCAATCCAAATTGATTATTTCAATTGATTATTTATTCATTTTAATGAGTGAAGGGCAAGTCAAATACAGGTTCTGCTGTGTTGTGCATAATACACTGTTATTTGTCACGAATGTTTTTGTATTGCATGGCCAATCTTGCCTGGACTGCTTAGGTAGCACTAAGCAACTAGTGACATGCTGACTTGTTTAAACATTAAAGACAGGCTGAAAACAGAGTAGTTGTACAAGACGTCAGTGATCTTCATGAGAGCATGTTTGGCAAGCTTTGTATAGCGTGGGTGGGAAGCCCAATGGCCAAGAGTAGAAACCGAATCAGGCACTATCTTTATGGTGTGGGACTGCCAAGCAAGTGATTTGACGCATTTCCACTTGGTGCATAATATTATGTTCCTGATCTGAGGTTGTCTGCTACTCCAGGAGTATAACATCAAACTCAGACATCTAACCATTTCCCAAACCCAGAGGAAATGAACTAATCATTCTTCAAAGGATATGGGAAAGGACCAAGAAGGCAAACAGCTTATTTCCTGAAGTTGATAACTATTCAAGATTTAGATTCCTATGATAAAGATCAGTAGAATTAATTTGATATCTCATCCTGGTAGAGAGCTCATTTCAACATCTGTCATCACTATAGAATTGCAAACTGTTTTCTCTCCATAGCCCTAGTTCTCACAATGCCCCTGATAGAATGCTGTTAAACTGTAAAGCAGTGATACTAATTTAGCTAGATCTGGTGCTGTAATTTCCAGGAAAGGTTAATATTAGAACAAAAGTGCAAGTTTAATTGATATTAGGGGACAAATCACAATCAGAGCTGTTCATATGAATGTTTAACGCACATGCTAATTTTTACTGAGAGCTATGAGTTTAACAGACAAGGTGATACAAACAGACGCAATAGCAACATTCAAGAGACATCTTAAGAATATGTGAATGAGCAGGAAGGTGAGTGATATAGACTGCATGGGGTAAGAGGTTTTTCGTTTAGAAAGATGTTATGTGTCAATGCAGTCTTGTTGGGCCAGAGGGCCTGTTCCTGTGCTGGAACAAAATTAAAAGTTGCTGGAAAAGCTCAGCAGGTCTGGCAGCATCTGTGAAGAAAGAACAGAGTTATTGTTTCAGGTCCAGTGACCCTTCCTCAGGCTTTCCTCAAAAGCCAGACCTGCTGACCTTTTCCAGCAACTTCTGGTTTTGTTCCTGATGTACAGCATCCATAGTTCATTCAGTTTTTATTTTGTTCCTGTTCTGTACTGTTTTTTGTTCTTTGTAAGACCTACTTTAAAATAGCACACAGGGAAATTATATATATTTCTTTAAGAATTTTTTTGTGTAACTGGCTATAAACTTAATATGTCATTGTAATCTTTTATTTCTGTTTCAAGAGCCATATAACAGAAAAGCACAGAAGTCCTACTCCTTTTGGAAAGGACTGAAACTCGTAATGAGTCATGGACCTTATGTGAAGTTGATCATTGGCTTCCTGTTTACATCATTGGCATTTATGGTACGATGAATACTTCTGAACAGAATGTCCAAAATAATAATTGAATTGTTCTTGCTGATTGTGATTTAGTTGTCAAACAATCACAATCTGGTTGAGGCACTTATGTGAAATGTAGAAGAGTGACTGGTGCAATACTTAATGGAGAAATGCAGGGTGAACATTTAACTCCATGTCAAGCAGATTGGCAGTATTGCAAAGAGCCTATTATCCATCTCTTACACTGACAACAGTGTGGGAAGGAGAGGGTTCAAAAACCAAAGCTCAGGACTAACCTATCTGTGTCTAGCTCGAGGGAATTGCTGCTCATCTGAGGTAACGTGTTGAGCAAAATTCAGATGGCTCAAAGAATTTGATTTTCTTTTATTATTCATACATGAGATAAGGGCGTTACTGGCCAGGCCAGCATTTATTGCCCAACCCTAATTGCCCAGAGGGCAGTTGAGCGTCAACCACATTGCTGTGTGTCTGAAGTCACATGTCAGCCAAACCAGGTAGGGGCATTAGTGAACCAGATGGGTTTTTCCAACAATTGACAATGGATTCATCATTAGACTCTTCATTCCAGACTTTTTTTTTTAATTGAATTCAAATTTCACCATCTGCTGTGGTGGGTTTCAAACCTAGGTCTCCAGAATATTAGCTGAGTTTCTGGATTAACAGCCTGGTAATAATCCCACTAGACCATCACCTCCCCGTGGATGGGGATGATAAAGAGGTCGAACTGTAGGTCGTCAGTTACTTGTGCACGTAAACCTGTGGGTGATATCATGAAGGGGCAACTTTGTAAATGAGGGTGAGTCCATTGGGAATTTCTGAGGTGGTTTTGTCATGGACAGAAAGCTGTGGCTAGAACTACTGTGGCCACAATTAGATTGATGAGAGAGGGCAATGCCACTGTGGCGACAATGGAGAAGAATTAGACAAAAATGAGGCAGGAACCCAGACTGGGAGAGGCCATTTCACTCTGCAATCCAGTGGTCATGGCTGATTTATGAATTAACTGCATATGTGGCCAATCAAAGTGAAGAATAAGACAATGAAGGATAATGCAGCATGGTCACCATCATAGAAAATTGTCATTTCTGACCAGTTAGAACTGTTCCAGTGCCACGGGAATAAAATGGAGAAAGACTGCAGAAAGCCAAAGAACGGAGGGACATTAGAGTCCTTGTGCACGAATCACAAAAAGCTGGCAACCAAGTTCAGCAGATAACTGGGAAGCCAAATGGAATATTGGCCTTTATTTCAAAGGGAGTGGGATATAAAAATAGGAACATGAGGCACTAGTCGGACCACAGCTGGAATGCTATGAACAGTTTTGGGTTCCTTCTCTAAGGAAGAAGCACTGGCATTGGAGGCTATCCAACGAACATTCAATAGGTTGATACCAAGTATGGAGGGACTCTCTTATAAGGAGACATTCAGTAGGTTGGGGCTGTACTAATTGCAGTTTTGAAGAATGAGAGGCAACCTGATTGAAACATACAAGATTCTAAGAGGATTTTATAGGGTAGATGCAGAGAGATTATTTCCCCTTGTGAGACAGTCTCGGACTAGAGGGCATAATCTCAGAATAAGGGGTCACACATTTAAGACAGGAGGAATTTCTTCTCTGAGGATCGTGAATCTGAGGAATTCTTTATCATTGGAGGCTGTCAAGGCTGGACTGTTAAGTATATTCAAGGCTGAGAGAGATGGATTTTTAGCCAGAAATGGGATTGTGGATTATCAGATCAGCAATGATCTGGTTAAATGGCAGAACAGACTTGATGGGTTGAATGGCCTACTTCTGCTCTAATGTCTTGGGGGAAGAGCTGGAAAAATGCTTTTAACAATTCAGAGATTTGAGTGAGTGAGCGTGGATCTGGATGATGGTGGCATGCCAATGGTATCTTGGAAAGGAAGGGAAGTTCAAAAATGGGATGGTATTTTAGCCAATTCCCTGTTTGTCTTAGAATAGTAGACAGAGGAATATTACACAATTAAGCATTCACAGCAAATATGCACTGGGGCCAGGACGCCACAACACTGCACTGGGGCATAGGCAATGCAGCAGTGTACAAAGTGCAGATAAATCTGTAAAAGAAATTATGCAGTAGAAGGTGGAAATTTGCCTATCAAATTGTTTCTAAGTTCTCGAAAGAGGAAGCATAAAGAAGTTGGGCAATTTATTGCTTTAGATGTGTCTGTGTGTGTACCGGTGTCTGTGTGTATGTTTGATGGCGGGGGGGGGACGTCGGTGCGCTGAATAGGGAGGAGACATTGGTGAGGTGATAATGTCATTGGAATAGCAATCCAGAGCCCCTAACTAATATTCTGAGAATATGTGATCGGATCTCACCGTATATGACTTTATGACGGCAGATGGTGAAATCTGAATTTTGTACAAGTCTGCAATAAAAGAGGGAAGTTAAATGATGACATGTAATGACTATTGATTGTTGTTAAAACTCAACTGCTTCACTCATGTCATTTAGGAAAGGAAATCTGCCATCCTTACCTGATCTGGCCTACATGTGACCCCAGACCCATCACTACGTGGTTCATTTTTAACCTGCCCTCTGGGAGGTTGAGGCTTGGCTACCAACATCCACATCAGATGAACAAATAAAACAAGGGTTTTGGGTAAAGACAGGGAGGTGGAGTTGGGGAGTATCAGCTCAGCCATGATCTCAGTGAATGGCTGAGCAGACTCTGGGCTGAATGGCCTACTTCAGCTCCTACATCTTATGGTTGAAAACTGAGTATCCCACAAAGCAATATATGCGTTAGGGTCATAAGGCAACATGGTAGCTCAGTGATTAGTACTTGCTGCCGCACAGCACCAGGGACCCGGGTTCAATTCCAGCCTCAGGCGACTGTGTGGAGTTTGCACATTCTCACTGTGTCTGCATGGGTTTCCTCCGGGTGCTCCGGTTTCCTCCTAAGGTCCAAAGATGTGCAGGCTAGGTGGACTGGCCATGCTAAATTGTCTGTAGTGTTTAGGGTGGGAAATGTACAGGGTGGGTCTGGGTGGGATGCTCCTCAGAGGGTTGGTGTGGACCTGATGGGCCAAATGGCCTGTTTCCACACTGTAGGGATTCTATGATAAGTTCAGCTACTTGTTGTATATTGTACATTTCTGATTTACAGTTCAAAATATTCTAAATGATTATAAACTCTTCTTTTAGCTGTTGGAAGGGAATTACGCACTGTACTGCTCCTACACACTGGGTTTTCCCAATGACTTCCAGAATATACTGCTGGTTATCATGGTAAGAGTGTAAGTTATGCCTTTATGCAGTAGTAACAACTTCATGTTGGATTGTGCTATGAGCTAACTTTGCAAAAATTAGCAACTGTCGCCATTTCTAGCCTCATCAGTGAGATCCTCATCACTTCTCACAATCACTTTAATTAAGAAACAACGGGTTAGAAAAGTAAACTTGGAGACGAAGGAAATTGGAAATTGGGAGAACCAATTTCAAAGACTGGAAGGTCATAGGAAAAAGGAAAGATTGTGGGCGATAAAGTATTTTGGAGCTTCACAGTTGGGAGAAAGGACAAATTAGAGTAGGAAATTTTACAGATGTAAACAGGAAAGAGAAGGAATGAAAGTTGAAGTATTAGAGCAAAAGAAAGAGAGATATGTGAAGAAGCACTGACAAAAATGTCAATAAAATAAAAAAAATTGCACACAGATCAGACAGCAACTAAAAGCAGAAACAACTGATGGTGTTTTGGGGAGAAGTTAGTTACAACTGAGAATGGTAAATTCTTTTGTTGGCAGCATAGGAAGAATCAGCTGTGGGTGAACACTGTTTGGGAGTGTGGGAGGGATTCTGGAGGGGAGCAATACTGAGGTTGGTGCATGTACCACAGAACAATAAACAAAACTGCTGCCTGGATGCCGATTCAGCTGTGAGGTTGCCAAACTCTCGTTCTGAAAAGTCTTTACATTACCTGTGGGAGCCAAGATGTTTTTGATCACGGAGCACATTGCAACACATTTTACTTTTTTTCTTATTCATTCACGAGATGAGGACATTGCTGACCACGCAGCATTTATTGTCCATCCCTAATTGCCCAGATGACAGTTAAGAGACAGCCACATTGCTGTGGGTCTGGAGTCACATGTAGGCCAGACCAGGTAAGGATGGCAGTTTCCTTCCCTAAAGGATATTAGTGAACCAGATGGCTTCTTTCCCTCCCTGACAATGTATTCATGGTCATTATTAGACTCTTAAATCTAGTTTTTTTTAAAAATTGAATTCAAATTCCACCATTTGCCATGGCAGGATTTGAACCCAGGTTCCCATAACATTATCTGGGTTTCTGGATTAACAGACCAGCAATAATACCGCTAGGCCATCTCCTCCCCTACTGTGGCACTACCAGTACTTGTCAAGACAGTGAGTGTTCCATGTGAGGCAAAGATAGAGAGGTGTCTTTTTTTTTCTGTGCAAGCTGCAGATACTGCCCTGGGAAACAAAGAGACTGTATTGAGGTGTAGCTGGGTAACACTGACACTGATGGGAGTCAGACAGCTGCCTGAAGCCTCTGCAAGTAGGAGCATCATTCCAATAGAGAGAGGTAGAATGCAAGCAACAGTTAGAGCAGTAAAAAAGTTTCAAATAATGTGGGGTCTTGAGTGGATCCATTCAGGGAAACTGAGCCTACTTTTACCAATCCTTTGCTGTTGATCAGAATTTCTCCCTAAACTATATTAGGGTAGTTAGTCCAGAAAGAGAAAAATGCTTCACAAAAGTAGATACAATGTTGAACACAGGAGAAAAAGCCTTATCCCATGATGTAAAAAAATGCAACTGCTGGCTAAATACAAACATTATTTGATTCAGCAGAGAAGATGCACAGTAATGCTTCATTAGTTTTGTTTTGTCTACAGACATCCCTTCATTTCTATAATTTCTAAAGCTGCTCAAGTAACTTTAGATTATAATGAACAACTTTGCACGGCAAATCATGTCCCTTTCAGTTGTAACCACAGCATTCGCATTTGGCTAATAGTGAAATATGAATAGAATGTGGGTGTCCTTGAGCTGAACAGTGATGCCTTTGTTCTGCTGTTTCCCAGGCATCGTGATATGGAGAAGCGCATGTGTATTCTTTTATACAAACTTCACTGAGTGATAGACACTTTTTCAGTAAAAGTAAAGGTTTCAAAAGTGGCTGGTGGAATTCAAAATTGAATTAAAGGTCCCTAGCGACCATTCAAATTCAGGGTAAGGGACACTGAGACACAGGCAGCTTGCTGCTAAAGTGCGTGGACATTCTTGAAGCAGAATTGGAGTCCTTTAGAGTGTAGTCCTCCTCCAATGTTTCAACCTTCAATATCACTCTTCAACAGTAATAACTTTAGAGGCAGTTGTGCCACTTGCAGACTTTTTGGAAGGAAAACTATTTCTGAAAGAGCCTTTTGCCATTAGGCGTATGTTTGACTAAGTTTACAATGTAACTGTCAGCTTTAGTTTGTTATTGTTGTACTGGAGGGTGGGGGTGCCTCTCTTTTGAATTAAGAGACTGTTAAAAGCTTTGCGTGGAATCGAAAGGGCGAGGTACAGACTCCTTTCCAAGACATGGGATGTGGCCTTGTCATAGGAATAAAGAAGAAATTGTAGTGAGCTCATTCTCTTGGAATCTAGCCTTTCAAATGATTTGCAAATAATTCAAATGATAATTATTTTTGGGAATAAAAGCTACATCTAACTTTATTTGGGCAACTATATTTTATAGATGAATTTAAACAAAAGTCCATTAATCGACTTGGGGTTCATTCAGTAATCTGGATCTGGATCTGGATGTTCTTTTGGGTAAACCCGAACAAACAGCACGCAAGTTAAGAGCAAATTATTGCAGATGCTAGAATCTGTGCTGAAAGCAAAAATGCTGGAGATCACAGCAGGTCAGGCAGTATCCATGGAGAGAAAGCAAGCTAATATTTTGAGTCTAGATGACTCTTCATCAGAGATAGCGAGCTTGCTCTCTCTCTCTCTCTCTCTCCACGGATGCTGCCTGACCCGCCAGTAAAGGTGAGTGTAGGGGGGAGGTAGGGAGGGGATAGGTCAGTCCAGGGAGGACAGACAGGTCAAGGGGGCGGGATGAGGTTAGTAGGTAGGAGATGGGGGTGGGGCTTGAGGTGGGAGGAGGGGATAGGTGGGAGGAAGGACAGGTTAGGGAGGCGGGGAC